ACACCCAGTAAAGCTAAGCATCTAGCTTGCTCTTTCGTCTATATGTAGGTTGTCAAAATTACAAATAGCTTGAATATACGAGGTATAGAAAGAGTTAGAGATGAATTTTTTCAAAATTTGTCGAATAAACCTTAAGTTGTCATTGAATTTCACACAACCTGAAAGTATTCTCACCTAGGCAGGGATAGAGACTAGTTTTAACCTCTAAAATGGTCACATTAGTACTCCGAACGGGACTCGAACCCAGATTGTGTTAGTAAAACCTAATTTGTATTTGCTATACAAATTGACTATATTACTTATTTATTGTTTATACGTGGGTAAGTACACCTCATATAAATGATCTATTGATGTTGCTTCCTCGACAATCCCACCACAGAATGTGATATGGCAAAATGCCTAGTCCTCCTAGTCATGTACATCTGCCCTGTGACCCAAGGACACTTGTGACAATGTGAAGTAGAGTATAGCGTGTCGAGACTATAGGTTTAACGACCACTACCTGGGCTCGAATCCCGCCGGGAATGCTAATGAGACCAGTTCAGGCAAGGTTAGAACTAGAGTGGGTGGGAACAACTTTTGGGGAGCGAGGCTGTGCAAAATGCATTGACAACATATGATCTAGTCAGCTGATTTGGGAAAAATTTAGCTTCCAGTCCTCCTTTATCTTATGGAAAAAGATTGAGTTATTCTGTTGGGTTAGCTTTTTATGTTGGTTTGAGAGGCCAATGGAGGGGATTTTAGTCTGTTGAAACGATGGGCTGAACAAGTCGTTTGAGGGTGAACTACAAAACTAGATCTCACCGAGAGGATATTCAGCCACCAGACTTTGTCCGTGTGCCAGCAGGCCAAGAGGTGTGGTTGTGTTGGTTGAGGAGACCAGTGTCATGTTCATTGCAGCCACAGAGCCAGCTGTTGTCAGTTGGGCGACGCTTGTAGCCGAGGCCAGGCTGGCGGCAATCGCTTTGGCGGACTCGCTCGAGGCCAAGGGGCGCGGACAGTCTGACCGGGTTGAGTCGGCCTGAACAGTGGGGAAAGGAAGTGTGAAGACGAAGTGGAGTGAAATGAGACTAAAGAAGTGTCAATAATAGTCTAGCATTTCTAATAAGTGGGTTTCGAGATCTTTTACAAACCTTGAATAAGAACTGTATTATCTCAAACCGGCAGAAAAACTCTTGTTGAGCTTACTTCCAGTTCGAGTGAAAGTGTGTTGGGTGAAGAGATTCGAAGGTCGGTTCCACCAGAAGACGACGGCGGATTCCTTTTGACCAGCTGTCGATTGGTTTTACTGGAAGATTCATACTGACGCTGTTTACGAGGCAGTCTCCTTCGATTCCGATGAAAAGGTGCTAAGCTTTCGATATCATCATCAGAGCGAGGTAACATCGTCACAACAAAATTCAAGCTAACGAGTCAAGAAAACTAACCTGAAAATCCTTAAAAAATGGTATATTTACTCTACATCTGGTCTCTTTGATGAGATATAAAGTGATTTGGTTAGTTAGGTCATATGGCAACTTCAAAGCCTGTGAGTGTCTGTCTTTGTATGTGTATGTATAAGTGTTTTGACTCGTTGTCTTGATTTTTTTTGTGACAATGTTACCTCGCTCTGATGATGTCCGTCATATGACGTACGAAAGTTTAGCACCTTTTCACCGGAATCGAAGGAGATTGCCTCGGAAACAGCGTCAGCATGAATCTGCCAGTAAAGCCAATCGGCAGCTGGTCAAGAGGAATCCGCCCTCGTCTTCTGGTGGAACAGACCTGCTAGTCTCTTCACCCAACACTTTCACTCAAAATGGAAGTAAGCCCAACAATTGTGAAACAAGAGAGTCCTCGAAACACAACTTTTCTTCGCATAACAACTTTTACAATCGCTCGCGATCCTTTTCATTTCACGCCAACTGCCAAATTATCACTTTGCTTGCCCTCTCAGCCCAAAACAGCATTCACTCGACTGTAAAATATGAACTGTAGTCAGTCTGAGTCGCCT